GAGAGAGAGAGAGAGAGAGAGAGAGAGAGAGAGAGAGAGAGAGAGGGAAGAGGGAAGAGGGGGAAGAGAGGGCTTACAAGTCTAGCTCGATCGGGCTGATCATACAGTCTTCCTGTACGAAAGTTAATTTGCTGACTGTGTCTCTCACTGTGTTGGGGGAGTTCCTGCGATGTGGGACCGGGAGTGGGGCCTTTGGCCCATAGAATCCAGGTTCTCTTGATATCGTTGCCGACACTGAGCTTGACGGAGAATTCCAAGACAATGGAGCCGTTTTGAGCTCGCACTTCAAGGCCCGCAACGTCAAGTTTGTTGCCCGGTTTGACCCCCGAAGGTGCTGGCGAAGCCAAGAAATATTGTGCCGCCCTTGGTCCAGAGTCTATGGTAGAATACCCCACGATCGCACTTGACCCTGCCATCATTCCATCATCCGAAAAGCCGAGCCCAACCCACCCATCATGGTGGCCAATGAACAAGACATCCAGCCACCCCACATCCAGGTTCCTCCACAGCAACTTGAATCCGCTCCCCTGCAGCGTTCGACAGAAGGTGTAATTTGTAGGCCACCAGTTCAAGCTCGTCATGCAGGACAACGAGTCGTTGTCACTGGTCATAATTGCAGCCATGTACGAGCTTGCAGCTGATGCCAACTCCTCCGCCGTTGAGTACGAACCCCTCAAGGCCGCAGGGCTAGGTAGAGAATCCATGGACGCTGGCAGGGACGGGCCAGGCTCGGAGACCGAGGGCGACGGTGATACAGGGGAGGCACGACCGTTCCCGTCATTAGATGTCGCAGCGGGTCCTGCTCCAGATCCTGGGCCTGATTCATAGGTTTCCGATGATGACCCGTTTCGAGCCTGGACTGGGGCAGGGGCCAGAGGAGTTGAAATGCTGCTCGACACAGGCAACCAACTGCTCACTGGATAGAGGGACAGCTCTGTGCAGTTGTTTGCGCCGGCCATGTAGACAAGATTGAACATCATGCTACCACTGACGTAATGCTTCTGAGGCAGTGGGTTTGCCGAAGTCGAGCCCACAGCCAAGGGCCCAATGGCAAACACTGCCCATCGCCAAGTGTCTTGATTCACCCGCAATGGCGTTCGGTAGGTAACCCTGAGGACATCGTCCACCAGCCTTGATGAAATCAGCTCTATAGTGTTGGGGTATTCATTCCCGTCGATGGATGTCGGCGCCTTGCAGACACCGCTCGTTGTGTTTGTCTGGCCCGACGACTGACAGGGGTACTTCCCTGATAACGAAAAGTGGTCGGCAAAACCCATCGGCTCGCCGGTTGGCATCCCAACAATCGTGACATTACTCCCAACCATCTCAGCAGGTCCGGTGGTCACATTGGAGAAACCGAAGGCCATCCAATTATCCCATCCAGCGCGCCCCTCCAGCATGTAGGTGACAGTGACGACGCCATTACTGCTGCTCAGGTCGATAGTCCAGTATCTGCGCGCAGTCGTTTCAACATTCCACCTTAATCAGGCGATCCGTCTGATGCCGCCTTAATCAGGCGACTTTTTCGGATTCCGCTTTTGCTGAGATGTCAATCTTCCCATATCTTCGCTGGCAGAAGCAGAATGATTGCAAATCCCACTGCAAGGAAGACAGCCAATCAGGACCATATTCAGACAGTCAAATGTTCAATTCTTCAGTTCCTGTAGATCTGTCTTTTGTCTGTCCATCTATCCTGTCCGTCCTGTCTATCCTGTCTATCCTTTCCATCCTTTCTGCCCTATCCGTCCTGTCTGCCTGTCTGTCTGCCCGTTGCTCGCTCGGTCTGCCTGTCTGCCTCTCTGTATTCGTGTATGTCTAGCTAGCTACCTATCTATAGATCCACCTATATGTCTGCCTGTCTATCTGATACACCTGCTCATCATACCAACCTTTCCCTGTCCATGGAAACACTACGCATCTTTTCTACCTATCTACCCATCAACCCACCCATCAACCCCCATTGACCTCCTGACTTATCAGTCAATCTCCCAACCTCTCAATCTCCCAATCTCTCAAACTCCCCATCTCCCAACCTCTGAAGCTCTCAAGGTCTCAAGGTCTCAATCTTTGGGTTTATTAACCTTCTGATCGGTGACTACCGTCTTCACCCGAATAGAACGCCCGGTCATTATCGCTGCATCTGGACTGAAAAGTCTATGGCCTTGCAACCTACCTGCAGATTTCTTTATTAAAAAGTGTCGGGGACAGTGCAGCGCGCGGATGTTTTATCTACGTGTTTGCTTATCTACATACTTACTGACCTACTTACCTGTCCTATCTACCTATCGACCCATCTACCTATCTACCCATCTACCTATCTACCTGTCTGGCGTCCTATCTACCTATCTGGCGTCCTATCTACCTACCTGGCGTCCAATCTACCTATCTGGCATCCTATCTACATATCTACCTATCAGCCCATTACGCCATCCATCCACGAACACATATGTGGAACGCCTAGCGGTGTGACCAGAAGTGCATGTTTTTGCAATGTTCATTCCAGGCCATTCGGTCACCTCTCTATCATCAATAGGCGAAGCACATGAACATCGATGAAACCGACGCCGGAATAGGGAGCTCCCTTCTGTTCTTTTTCCATTTCTTCTCTCCAGAATGGGTAACGAACTCGGTCCTCTTCTTCGCTCACGAAAGGATAACATACCCTAACCAGATTTGAACTCTCGACTTCCTGATCTCAGAGTAAGGTGTGAACGACTCGGCTGACAGTGTAGGGAGTTCTATAGCAAGCATTGGACATTGAAAGCAGTCTGTCTTGCAGTAGAAGAAAAACACCAGAGTTTTGCAGACGTATAGTAGTTCGCACTCTGGTATTGTACGATCCGACAAAAAGTTGTTCTTTTTTTTTTCCGTTAGTCCGGTTAGCAAGCAGTGCGTCAAACCATTCAGATACTTTTTTTCTGTTCATTACTGTCAAAAAAACATTTGCAAGAGGACCAGCTCTGTCTTCGCTTCTGATCAAGCTGTTTCCCCTATTCTTTTTTTCTTCTTCTTTTTCTTTTTTTTTCTTCTTTTTATTTTTATTTTACGGCCGATGGGCCACGGATCAGATACTAAACTGATCGCATTTAATAACATACGTTAGCACTAAATTTGGCAAATAATAATTTTTCATATTGATAATCGATGACAATTAACGCCCTTCACGTGCTGGTTCTTCTACGAAACGATAAAATCATCAAACCTATCAGACTG